TTTAGACAGTATTAACAAACTAACAGAGAAGTGTAAGAAATAATAATAAATAAAATCAGAATGGCAAAAGGCTGTCGATCTCTGACTCTGGCAGAAGTCAGGACCTTGTCAAGAAGTATGGGTAGGAGATCATTTTATCAAACCAATGTATTTTCTGTTTTTAAGAGACATGCTGATAAGAATTAAAATGTATTAAAAAGCAAGTTCTTGGTTTTTAATACCAAGAACCAAAAATACAGTTCCTTTCCCCTTTTGTTATTTTACATCAACAAATGATATAGTAGCAATGGATCAGACATACAAAGTAAGATTTTCCTTTAAGAACTGCTTTTTCAAATGCTATTTATTATGAATTTCAGTTTTTCATCTGGAAGTCTTAAACATGAAAAACTAGGCTTTTTTTTAACATTTCTAAATTCATTTGTGAACATTGTGCATGTGACTTTTGTTCTACACGTACACATACACACATACAAAACGGAGAAATTAATTATTAGATTTATTCTTGGTCCAATCAAGAACAAATCCAAGAACAAAAACTATAGTGTGACAAATCAAAATGCTTTTTACTGAATTTGATAATAAGTGAATAATAGATATTATGAACTATTTATGAAAAATACTCAGTAAACTGAGTATATGCTCCAGGGATCAGACCCATGTCTCCTGCATCTCCTGCACTGCCAGTGGATTTTTCACCCACTGAGCCACTGAAGAAGCCCAAGCACATGCTATACATCAGTAAAACAACTGAGTACAAGACTAGAACTCGCCTTAGGTGTCCATCAAAATAAATGGTTCTGATTCTGTTTGCTTTGAGGGGAAAAAAAAAAGTTGAGATTCATTACTGTCCACAGATTAAGAACTCGTTTATGTTATTATCTACAAATTTAATTTTTTTTTTTTAACAAGTTATTTTATCACTAACATATTTCTGATTCCATTCAAGAGAGCCTGTCATGTGGAAAATCCATGGCTGGTTTCATGGGGCATAGTAGACCATATCTTCCATTCAACAATGTTGCTGGTAAAACCCAGCTGTCCAACCTTTGCTGTAGTGACTACAGCATATTCAGCAGAAACAATCTGCCTGCTGACCTCCAGCTTAAGTTCAAACTATGTCATTCTGTCAATACCATCTACCTTGATTAGGTTGGGCTTTATACACAACAGGTTATGATCCCAGAGGGAAGAAAAGCTTTCCCAAATTAAAAGCAGAAATTTAAAATGAAATACTCATACATTCCTACGCAGTTTCCACTTGATATCCTCAACGCTGGCCCATGAACTCAAGCTCATGTTGATTGAAAGTGAATGTTTCTTTCTGGGTGTAGCCATCTTACAAATTTAATGGCAAGAGCAAAATAATAAAATATGTTCTGTGCTTCAATTAGACCTTTTATAACTTGGCACTTGAAAGATGGCAATGCCAAAGAAAAATCATTAATTCCAAAAAACAGGCAAAAAGGATTGTGCAGAAGAAGACAGGCCTCCAAGGGCCCAGGGCTTTGGCAGAGCATCTCTTCATAGCAACACGGCCTGCCTTGGTCTAGCCTCATGGGGAGTCTTCTCTCATGCTTCATGCTATTTAGATAAACTGTATGCTGCATACGTTGATTCCAAAATCCAAAGCAATACAACCATACTCTCAACCTTATCCTTATCCAAAGGAGCTATATAAATAACCAGCAATAAAATGTTGACTAGCCTTGAAATGCCTATTCATGCATATAAATGATAGATGAAAGAGCACACACACACAGAGAGAACTGCAAAATACAGGCTTAAAGACACATCCTTCTACTTTGTGTTTTATAATAGTATGGAGCAGACTTGCTCAAGAAGAGAAGCGCTCTTATGGGCTCAATCCAGATAGCTGAGGACACACACACGCTACCCTAGTACTCTAAGCCACAAAAGAATAGTGGTTTAGTGATGTCTGGAACACGTGTAGCCCTCTGTGAACCTCTGAACTCATTTTCAAATGATGCTACAGGCTCTGTCAATGACAGAATGCATACATTAGCTAAGAGTCAAGGGAGCAAGAGGTTTCACCCCTCTTGGTCTCCTGCCATACCTAATCTGTCAGCACCAAATCTCAAGCAAGCCCACTGCCTTTCTTCCCTGATCCTACTCCTGCAGTTTCACCGTGGCCGAAGACTGTTACCAAACCACAGTGGTTGGTTCCATCACTCCTTCATGCTGTTTGACTTCAGCTGAGGCCCAAGCTAATTCTTCTGTCTCAAATTGACTCCCTCTCACTCTCAGAACTGTCAACCCATTTCTGGTCTCCCTTTCAACACCAAATTTTGGAAAGAGTAATTTGCAGCCACCGCTTCTGTATCCTTGACAGTTAATCACTCCTTAACTCCTAAATTCTGGCTCCTGCCCTCACCACTCTAATGAAATTATACTGTAAAGCTTGCCAAGGATTTCTCCCAACCAAACACCAAATCTCATGGCATGGTTTCAAACTTCCCTTCCCTAGACTTCTTAGTTTTCCCCACATGGAAGAGTCTCCTCTGGAGACTCTCAGCCCAAATCCTCTATACTTTATTAGCATCTCCCTTTTCTTCTACCTTCACCTTCCCCCACCTCTCCCGGGATTTCGTGGTCTCTTCTCCTTGGCATTAGTAGTGCTGGGGGCTTCTCCCCTCCCTCTGCTGTCTTTTTAAATTCTAGGTTTTGTGAATAAATTTCTCATCTCTTTCTCTAACCCTAACAACTATTCTTAGCACTAAACTCTTATTTTCAAGGACTGCTGCACATCTTCACTTAAGGAGTCTACGAGCACTTCAGAGTCAAACAGCCCAAAGTCAAACAGCCCACAGTAATCACTTTAACTTTACTCCAACGCTCTCTTTCAATACCCTCCTTGATTCTCTAAATAATTGCGCTTCATTGGTAGTCACGCGGCTCAAACCCGAGTGTTACCTCTACTCCAGGGATTTGCAATTTCTGTCAGCTTCACTCTCACAACGCTTGTTGACAGCACCCTCCACTCCACTGGCACCAGTCTTGTTCAAAACTTCTCTGCATTTCAGCCATACACGCAAGGCAGCCTCCTAAGTAAAATCCCTACCCTCTTGATACCATTGAACGGAAAAAAGTATTCCTAAGATCCAATTCTGATCATTCGATGAAAGAATATCCCTACATAAAACCATCAATGGTTTCCACTGCTCATTAAATACAGTTCAAAGTTCTTAGCATGAACCTAAGATCTTTTCGGATCTGTTCTTCTCCCTGTAAGTTATATCTAGCTTTGCTATCAACTATCAGCTGGTCCTGACTTTTTCTGACTCAACCTTTTTCGTGTGTGTGTGTGTGTGTGTGTGTGTGTGTGTGTGTGTGTTTTAACCTAAAATACCCGTCTTCTCCATGTTTGCCCATTAAATTTTATTCATCCTTTACAGCCTAACTATCCAGAAACCTTCATACTCAAGTCAGCCGTTCACATATGTGCTCGCTCACAATATTTTTCATCTTTGCGTCTGCAGAGAGCTTGGTTTCTTGCCTTGCATTTAGTAGGGTGGCTAACTTAAACCCACTGTCCTCTTAAAGACTCACTTGCTTACTCACTTACTTACTCTACTGTAAGTATGCCTAACCCCAACTCCTCACAAACACCCACTGCAGTCACTATCCGCATTATCTTACATTATTCTCCTGACTTCACATTTTATTTTAGTTATCTGCGCACATTTTACTTTTCACTACCAGATTGTCAGCTCCTGAAGATTAGGCACGTTTACTTTTTGGGTACTCATACAATTGGTCCTGTGTGTCTGTGGATGCAAAATCCACAGATAGGGCAGACCAACTGGGCTGCACCATTTTATATAAGGGACTTGAGCATTTGTAGGTTTTGGTATTTTCGAGGGCCCTGGAACCAAACTCCTACAGACACCAAAGGGACAATGGCATAAGAGCTAGATTAGCGATTCTCAAAATGTGACCTCAGACCAGCATCAGGACCAGCCGGGATCTTGTTAGACATGCAAATTTCTGGCTCCCACCTTAGACCTGTGAATCAGAAACTCTAGGAAGTGCTCTAGCAATCTATGTTTTAACAGTCTTCCAAGTGAATCTAATGCACACTCACATTTAGTACTGGTGGGAAAGAACTTCTTGATTATAAGCAGACTTCAATAAAGTAAGACAGAGCTAAACTGTGCACTGTCTATCATTTAATATTATATTGGCATATAATTCTCTCAAAACACTAAAAATACGAGTCAACTATCCATTACTACTTTGTGCTAAGTCATTTCAGCCATGTCCAAGTCTGTGTAACCCTATGGACTGTAGACCTCCAGGCTCCTCCGTCCATGGGGATCCTCTGGGCAAGAATACTGGGGTGGGCTGCCAGGCCCTCCTCCAGGGGATCTTCCGACCCAGAAATCGACCTTCTCTCTTACGTCTCCCGCACTGGCAGGCAGGTTCTTTACCACTAGCACCACCTGGGAGGCCCTTTATCAATACTACTTTACTACTTAATCAATATCTTAAATCTAACTTATACATTTTGAAGGGTTTATTAAAAATTATAAAAATGATAACATAATATTTTTTGTAAAATTCAAAGATAAGGTTAAGTTTTAGAACTAGTTTTTTAAAAAATAAAAACAAGGAATGATAATCACAAAATTCAAGATCAGGGTTACATCTGGAGAAAGTAAATGGAAAAGAGGGGAGAAGGAGAAGTACATAAAGAGACCCACGTCACTAGTAACATTTCAGGTGCTGAGTTGGGTGGTGAATTCACTGATATTCATTACATTACTGAAATTAATTAATTATGGCCAAGCATAGATCAATGGTGATAGTATTTCATGAACTAAAGATTATTAATTAATCTGATTCTGTGTGCTCTGAGATCCACAGAAAAATCTTAAAGAGATAAAAAATATTTGTCACAACGTGTCCATAGTATTAACATGATACATGATGTATCATGAACATGATATAAACATTATGATGTTTAGTGCTAATGGTACCTGTGTGCGATTGAATGCCACTCTTGCAAAGACAGCTTGGGACACACTGGCTCTCTTCAACTCATCTCTCACTTGCTGGTAGATATCTGGAGACACTTCCACAGAGGAGTTGGTTGGCTCCGGCTTGACTGCTCTGGGAATGGGTGGGTGGTTCAAGAACTGCTGGTTGATGGCTTGAGGATGCTGGTGAGCCAGGAGCCGGCTGACGGCTATCTGCTGGTTGATGAGATGGGCCATGGCGATCTGCTGCCTGACAAGCTGTGGACTGAGCTGGGGAGAGAGGAGACCGGGGCTCATGATGGGCTGCAGTGCGGGCACTTGGTTTCGGATCGGAGTGCTGTGGTGGATTTGGCTATGAGGAGACTGTTCGTTGGTCTTCCCCAGGGAGGCCAGCTGGTTCATATTTGGTAAATGCATTGGACGCTGGCCCAGAACACAATAGTCTGAGAGGTTTTCTCGTTCCACTCTTTCCACTGTTAAGAGATAAAAATGATAATTTGTCATTATCATCATTAGTATAATTTGTTGCTGATACATGTAGTTTATTTTTGGTATAGTAATGAAAAAGATTTTTTTCATAAAAAGCTGGAAGACCCAGAGTAAAAGTGAGTCATCTTTTCCTGAAAAAAATGTTACAATAATAGATTTCTCCATAAGTTATGATATGGAAGTAAAAATATTTGCCTTTTTTAAATTTCTAAAGGTAGGCATTTTATTAAATAGCCAAGACAGAAACAACTAACCATTACAAATTCTAAATCTTCTCATGTTTCCAAGCTCTTATCACCTCCTTCATTATCCACCGTGGTAAAAAACAAACAAACAAACAAAAAACTGTTTTTTTTTTTTCCTTTTTTTAAAAAAGCTGTTTTTCATCTTCTGTAGTTTGTGGTTAATGGTGTCATTTATGGGTATCAGGAAATGACAAGGACAACATCTTCTGCCAAATTAACTGCTATCTCCTAATAAAAATCTCACAAATACTATTATACAACTATGGAGACATTTATATAAAATGCCTGTCTCACAGTATCTCCTTTCAACTCCTCACTTGCTATCTTTTCTATAGGAATGTTTCTTTAAGACATAGGTATTTTAATGACTGTGATATGCACTAGAATAAGAAAAAGTCTCACAAAATTAATAATATCACCTTGATTTGCCATTTGTTTGCTAGGACCACTGCAATCTCTTGGCAAAACTCTCTTAGCATTTAACCTGCTTTCAAGATTTCCGGGAGAAATATGAATAACCTCAGATATGCAGATGACACCACCCTTATGGCAGAAAATGAAGAAACTAAAGAGCCTCTTGATGAAAGTGAAAGAGGAGAGTGAAAAAGTTGGCTTAAAGCTCAACATTCAGAAAACTAAGATCATGGCATCCAATCCTATCACTTCATGGCAAATAGATGGGGAAACAATGGGAACAGTGAGAGACTTTATTTTCTTGGGCTCCAAAATCACTGCAGATGGTGACTAAAGCCATGAAATTAAAAGACGCTTGCTCCTTGGAAGAAAAGCTATGACCAACCTAGATGGCATGTTAAAAAGCAGAGACACTACTTTGCCAACAAAGGTCTGTCTAGTCAAAGCTATGGTTTTTCCAATAGTCATGTATGGATGTGAGAGTTGGACTATAAAGAAATCTGAGCGCCAAAGAATTGATGCTTTTGAACTGTAGTGTTGGAGAAAACCCTTAAGAGTCCCTTGGACTGCAAGGAGATCCTGAATATTCATTGGAAGGACTGATGTTGAAGCTGAAACTCCAATACTTTGGCCACCTGATGCAAAGAACTGACTCAATGGACTTTACCCTGATGCTGGGAAAGATTGAAGGCGGGAGGAGAAGGGGATGACAGAGGATGAGATGGTTGGATGGCATCATCGACTCAATGGACATGAATTTGAATAAGCTCTGGGAGTTGGTGATGGACAGGGAAGTGTGACTAAATGACTGAACTGAAGTGAACTGATTTACGATTAAATAAAATTCTCCCTTTCTCCAGGTTATTTTTCTTATATGTTTTATTGTACTTTAGTAAAGATTTAAGGAATAACTTTGAAAGGGAGAAAAAGGAAAGTATCATGTATGTTCAAACGTGAGGCAGTCCTTTCTTCTCTCAAGAATATTTCTCAAGAAAGACTCATATCAAAAAAAAAAAAAAAGGTCACATCATACCAAATCAAATCCTTATCTAAATCTCTGTATTACATTATTATGTAAAGCTAAGGTTTGTTTGGGGAAAACACATTAGGCTGAAACAACCTCTATGTTTGCCAGCTTCAATGCGTGTGGATATAATCTAACAAAAACTGTGTTATGCTATTGTTTTTATTTTGACACTCTGCTTGAGGCATTCTATTAATATTTCCCAAGGCCTGAATCCAGGCCCTGGCAGTGAAAGCACGTAATACCAACCATTGGGCTTCCAGGGAGTTCCCCCAAATTCTGATAAAGCAAAAGTTCCACATGGATTTAGTAATTTTTTCTTACAATTGGAAATGCTGTATATGATTATGGAAAAGTCTATTGGTATTACTTTAAAGAAAACTTCATTGAGTGATTACATGCTAGAGAGCAGAAAAGTATTCACCTGTAAGACAAATTTTTTAAATAATCACACCTTTCAATACGCAAACAGTGCTTGTAAATTCGCACATGGCTTACAGTGACAGAATCATAATTGATCAAAAAAGTACTGAGTCTCACAAACTAAGATAATGAACTTATAGTTGCCAGGGGAAAGGGACAGTTAGGAAATCTGGGATGATCATGTATACACTGCTATATTTAAAATGGATAACCAGCAAGGACCTATTGCGTAGCACTCTGTTCAATGTTATGTGATAGCCTGGATGGGAGAGGAGCTTGGGGGAAAATGGATACATGTATATGTATGGCTGAGTTCCTTCACTGTTGACCTGAAACTATCACAACATTAGTAACTGGCTATACCCTAATACAAAATAAAGTCCCAAAGAAAAAGTACTGAGTCTCAAAATATTTAGGCAAATGTGATGTGTGCTGGAAAACTGGGTGAGATGACTCAAAACAGAGAATTTAGAGACAACAAAGTCACTAGAATCAAGTCATATGTAAAGTATCTGAGAAAAATCAATCAAGAAAGTAATATTTCTAAATTAATATTTTATATAACACGTGATTTTTAAATACATACAAGGAAGCAAAGTAACACATTAACAATGTAAATATATACCTGATCATTTTATTACATGTCTAAAGACTTTTATATTTAAAACTTCTAACTGGTAAAGCACATAGACATCCATATTTTGGGAGCACCTTATATTCAGACATATACAATATTTTTTCATGATTTTTTAAAAAACTGAATGATTGCTTAACTTTCCTATGAACTCCTAAATAAGTCAAAAGTTTACTTCAAACTTCTTTAAGACTTCAATTTATAACTTAATCCTTTCGAAGTAATTCATATATTTTGTATTCACCTTTCCTTCATAAAGTTCAAGGTAAACAAATTATTTTAATCTTATCCTCTAAAGGCAAACATTTTTTAGGTATTGTAATAAGAAACACTTAAAATCAAGCCAAGCAAATAGTTAAGAGCCTTTGATCAAGGTAATCTAACACAGGTTTCATAGGACAGAAGTTGTTATTGTAAGCTCCTCACTGAAAGAAGTGAAGAGGGTATGGAAGAAGGTATTCCATGCAAAGGGAAATCAAAAGAAAGCTAAAGTGGCAATGCTCATATCAGACAAATAGACTTTAAAATAAAGACTGTTATAAGAGACAAAGAAGGACACTATATAGTGATCAAGAGATCAATCCTAAAAGAATATGTAACAGCTGTAAATATACATACAACAAACATAGTAGCACCTCAATATATAAGGCAGATGCTAACAGCCATAAAAGGAGAAATTAACACAATAATAGTGGGTGACTTTAACACTCCACTTTTGTCAATGGACAGATCATCCAAACAAAAAATCAATAAGGAAACAAAGGCCTTAATTGTTACATTAGACCAGATGGACTTAATTGATTTTTATAGAGCATTCTATTGAAAAACAACAGAATACACAATTTTCCCAAGTGCATATGGAACATTCTCCAGGATCAACCATGTGCTGGGCCACAAAGCAAGCCTTGGTAAATTTAAGCAAATTAAAACTGTATCAGGCATCTTTTCTGACCATGTGCTATGAGATTAGAAATAAACTACAAGAAAAAAACTATTTTGAGAAAACCACAAATATGTGGAGGCTAAATAATACATTACTAAACAACTAATGAATCACTGAAGAAATCAAGGAGGAAATAAAGTATCTAGAAACAAATGAAAATGGAAGCACAATGATCCAAAACCTGTGGAATGCAGCAAAAGCAGTTCTAAGAGGAAAGTATAGCAATACAATCTTACCTCAGGAAACAAGAAAAATCTCAAATAGCAACTGAACCTTACACCTAAAGCAACTAGAGAAAGAAAAACAAACAAACAAACAAAAAACCCCTAAAGTTAGCAGAAAGAAAAAAAAAGCATAAAGATCAGAGAAGAAATAAGTGAGAGAGACGAAGATGACAATAGCAAAGACCAATGAAACTAAAAGTTGGTCCTTTGAAAAGATAAACAAAATTGATAAACCTTTATCCAGACTCACCAAAAAAAAAAAAAAAAGGACTCGAATAAAACTAGACATGAAAAAAGAGACTTTACAACTGACACATAGAAACACAAATGATCATAAGAGAATTCCACAAGCAACTGCATGCCAATAAAACAGACAACCTGAAAGAAATGGACAAATCCTTAGAAAGTCACAATCTCCCAAGACTGAATCAGGAAGGAATACAAAACATTAACAGACCAACCACAAGCACTGAAACTCCCAACAAACAAAAGTCCTGGATGGATTCACAGGTGAATTCTATCACACATTTAGAGAATGGCTAACACCCATCCTTCTGAAAAGGTTCCATAAATTGAAGAGGAAGGAAAACTCCCAAACTCATTTTACAAGGCCACCATCACCCTTATACCAAAATCAGACAAAGGTACTACCAAAAAAAAAAAAATTATAGGCCAAATATCACTGATGAATATAGATGCAAAAATCCTCAACAAAATACTAGCAATCTGAATCCAATCAAGTGGGATATATCCCTAGGATGCAAGGATTTTTCAATACCCACAAATTAATCAATGTGATACACCACATCAATAAATGAAGAACAAAGTTTCCAGAGTAAAATTATACTTCTCAGGCAGAAATACTTGCCCTCAAACATTCAATTCACTTTTGTTTGCTTGCTTTTTAATTCAGCCAAAATAAAGGCAAATTCAAGTAGCAAACTATGTTTTTGGGTACTTAAGAAGTAGACATTTTATTCATTTCTTTTTCTACAAAAAAAAAGAAAAAGAAATATCCTCGTAATGCAAACATTCTTTGATCAAAAGCTAACTTTCCAAAATGTCACTATTTTCATT